ACTACCTAGATCTATCAGTTCTCCTAGGTGGTCCCAGACTCTCTGATTAGAGCTGATTACATGTGAGCTCAGCGATTGATATAGCTGCTTGACTATCAGACACGATGATTGTCTGCGGTAGTTCTTCTCAATGTTGAGTTCGAAACATTTTCTAATGGCATACACTTATTCTTGGGGATTTGCTTAAGGTAGGAGGTATTTGAGGTAAGATTCTCGAAAACTAAATTCAAAGTTTCAGTTTCATCAAATCTCCATGTGGACTGCAAAGTCACTAGAATTTCAATAGTCATGCAGTGGTGATTTCGATTTTTTTTATTTTCAGTTCAATTTTCGAGGTAAAATTCCTCGGGAATTTGAAGATTTAATATTTTAGAAATTGTCAGAGTAAAGCACATGCGTTCAATATGTATTTATTTCGATAATATCCTGTACAATTTTTCTCTATGACCACTACATACCGTGCTTTCATTGGAAAACACAACTTAGACAAAGTGTTCGGTCGTGCTCAGGTCTAGCTGCTTCGTAGGAGTGGAGGATTAGCATTGACATATCACAGGCTGGCTTAATTCGCTTTCATGATAAATGGCATGGCTTGCTTCTTTCCTCCTATCAAATAACGATATCGCACGAGATATACAGGGTGTCAATTTGAAAACTTCCCACCCTTAATATCTCCCTCCAAGTCGATAATATGGAAAAACGAAAAGACAGGTCGATTTTATTTTCGAGGGGGACATGGTTCTAAAATCAAAAGTCTGAATCTTGAACCACCCTGTATTTGTTTCAAATAAATGTCAGTAGATAGTAAATCAAAAGTTGAGATAGGGACATAAAAGCCGTTTTGACCAATAATGAATAGTTTCGACTCAAAAAAATCCTAAAGTTGTAAAATCTCGATTTTGAACACCCTATATCTCTGTAATCATTCCTGCTAGACCCCCAAGTGAGATGCATTGATGAAATCAGCTTTTCAGTGAGAATCTAAAAATGCAATAAAATACAGGGTGTTCCATTTGAAATAACAAAATTGTTGCTTCTTTTCGTTAGAAGCGGCAACGCCGCGGGGCTGAAAATATTTTAGAACCATGTCCCCCTCGAAAATAAAATCGACCTGTCTTTTCGTTTTTCCATATTATCGACTTGGAGGGAGATATTGAGGGTGGGAAGTTTTCAAATTGACACCCTGTATATCCTATGTTGGGAGTAATCGTGAAAGCAAGGTATATATGTTCACTCTTGATGCGATTCTAAATTTTCAACTTTTTTCATAATATTATAGGAGCTGTTAAAGGAGAGTTGAAATATGACGAAATTGCATCACTCTTGTTCGCCATCTTGTTTCAAGAATAAGTAGTTAAATATTTTTGTTCTTCAACTTATGCTACTTATTTTGTCATATTTCAACTCTCATTCAATATGTCGATTAACCATAGTTGTAATATTTGCATTTCACTTGTTTTGAATTTTCACCACATATCATTGTATAACTTGTCAATTTTCACTCAGCTACGTAACCATTCTGCTAGATGTTGAGTATGAACACAAAAAAGTTTTCTCTGTAGATCACCTTTATTCTGTACTTTGACTGATAATGACCATTTGAATGGTCGAAACATGTATCAAAAGTAAAAGCAGATTTGCCTGCACACATCGCCATCGAAAGGCGAGAACACAATAGCACGAATTCAGTTCAAATGTGCATAATAAATAAATATAACATTGAAATAATGTGTACCAGTAGTTTTTTCAACAATAAATGCTGTCATTATCCAAAGAACGCGTTTGCAAAACCATACAAATTTGTGGACCATTCAAAAAACCAATAATGGCGGATACGTGATGACGTAACAAGTATTGGCGTGCATTTGGCAACGCTGTACTGTACCTTCAAAATATTCTACATATTTCCTAACCTAAGAAACCGAACTCCTAAAGTCCTAAACATCAAAACATCAGAGTTTTTCTTTGATTTTTCATTTGCTTAATATTTTCTTGTGTAATCAAAATATTCAAATCATTGTGACTATTATTGTGACATAGTCTGATGGGTTCATGTTTATTGATTGGAGATATGAAGCCAGTATTCGAAAAAGCAATCACAATCTTCCAGTAGTTGATTCAACTATGGTTTTTGAATTCTGCAAGTTAAAAAAACTGGCATGAGCTGTTTCATAAAGGTGAAGATCAGTCCAGAACATAAAGTTCGTCCTAAACCATGAAGGGTTGAGGCTGAGGTTCATGAAGCTGAAGAAACTGTAGTCTGGATTGTGCAGTTTCAAAAGGTAAAAGGTACATAAATTCTTGACTTTTTCATAAACTATATTCTTTTATATTCTTAGGTAGATGTAAACACAGTGTGGCTTTCTTATTATGGTTACATGGAAGATCAGAAGAACCCTCTGTACCTTCTATGGAGTGTTACTGAAAAGTGTCCAACTCAGTGTCCAAACTACCAAATTTTTGAGCTTCCTATCAACATTCATGCCACTTGTAGAATTAGCACCACAACAAGTTCCTACCCTCCCAGTGGTTCCATCAAGATTTCTTGAAGTAGTTTTTCAAGTAGATGGAAAACATGGATGCCAAGGATAACTGTTTTTGAGACAGTTTGATTCTGATCATTCTGATTCATAAGCTAATTATTTTGTCCAGAAAACATTCATCCAATTTGTCTCCTAGGGGATTCCAAGACTACATTCATCAGAATATCAGTGACAGTGATTGTGAATTGGTGCAAGATATAAAAATGAATCAAAACGAATCATCATTATCAGCATGGTTTGAAGTTTGCTATGGAAGAATTACTGCTTCAAAGTGCACAAAGTGCAAGACATTCGAAGGTACATTATATGAGCAGGAGAATTTTGAGAATAATGGTAGTTTTCAGTTACTTGAAGTGTGATATGACCCTATATTCCTTTAGAAAATTATAAAAGATGCTGAAAATTTGTGGCAAACTGTTAATTCCACCCATTTAATAAAATTATAAAATAACAGTACTACAGTAGTTTTTTTCTTCTCTTATTTCAAAATTGGACTTATTTAGAGCTCACCAGTGTCTTATAAATAACATATTTCATCATACACAACTTCGAAATCCCTTCTCATATTGATCATACACTATATCTTCACAAACTGGAGATGGTAGGTATATGAAATTCATGTTTACTTCTTGTCGAACAACCTGGTTCATTCATATTTTATTGTCAGTGGAATATTGGTAAGAAAGATGAATACCTATCATAACACCAAAAAAGTAATGAAAGTAGTAAGAAAAAAATCCAGTAAGTATAAACCAAGAGAGCACTGGCATATCTAGAAATGATGGAAGATGCAACATCAATTCTCAATGCAAAAAACAAAATCATACAAGCCAAAATTACTAGATAGGTATTGCCACTATTTCATGTAGGGAAAATTTGTCAAAAATGTAAAGGAATAGGTCTCGGAATAGGTAGTACACAAAAATTATCAAAATGAAGCAAGAATGCTCAAGAATGTTGGTTGAAATTTTCATTTATTGTCCACTTTATGCAGTAGATATAATTAGAACAGTTAAATATTAATAGATATATTTCATTTCTAGAATGAATATAGATGTACAACATGGAAATATTATATCAATATCTTGTCCAGATCATCACAAAGTTTTCAAGAAAACAAATAAACTTAATCATGATGGTAAAAATCACAAACATATTTGTATATCAATCAGCAACAGTCCTGAGTCATTTTATCATAATATGTTATGGGACTGTCAATTTGGTTCTGGTTCATAGTATTTGATGTCAGTCTCTTCCATGACAGGTTACTTTTCAGGTTCTTCAAGAAAACTTTTTCAACTGAAACACTCACTGGTACTTCCAAGAATTTTCCTCAAGGAGAGTCAATATGATTTGAGGAAAGTTCCATTTTATCTCATCTCCCAAATTCTCAAGGGATTGTTGAGATCTCCTTTTCCGTGCTGAAGATGAAAGTTAGGATTTTGATGGGTCTTTTCTCAGTTTTGGACGTTTAATGAATATGGAATCACATCTTCAGGCATATAAACTCTAGATCCAATGAGTTTTAATTCCACCCAGTTCAACATGTCATATTCAAGCTAGAACAAAATGAGTATGATCAATCCATATTGAAGAAAAAATTCTACTCACATCAAAACGATCCTCACAGCAAAATATATCATTTGATTCCAGGTATGGTTTATCCATATACTTTGTTCAGTGTTGATTAAGCAGGATGGAACCAAGTTTGTGGCATTTCCTTACAGCCACTGCCATCCCAGGAATGTGAATAAACGTTGATGAGAAAAAATAAATAATTCGATGGCACGAATAAAAATAATATTGGCCGACAAAAATAAATAAACAATAAAATAAAATAACAACTGACAGTAGTGACAGATGAACGAATTGTCAACTGTCCACACAGTCAACAGTCCAGAAGATATCAAGCGACGTTGCCGGATCACCGTCTAATACTTGTCACGTCACATTAACGCGCGATATTCCAGCTCGTTTGAACGGGATCAATACTTTGCAAATTTTTTGTGGAAAAACTACTTCGAATAAAAATCTGAAAAAAATACCTGAGACTTTTATCGTCATACTAAAGGCCATGGTATTTTTTCCAGAAATTCGTGTTCTCGCCTATAAATAGTGTGAGTTATGAATCTGATGCACCTTAACGAGCAGCAATTTTGTGCTCAAAGTCCCTTAGAAACAGGCGTTGTTACTATGTATTCAAACATAATTTTTCAATACGACTCACCGCCCCCTTAGACCCCTGCGCTTTATACCGCCCCCCTGGAGAACTCCAGCGCTCCCAAGGAGCGCAATCGCCCACTTTCGGGATCACTGGATTAAAGACTCCCTAGTGATGCACCAACTTTCAATAAAACTTTGTGATAACAAAATAATTAAACAGTTTTTCATTCATCTATTATGCATAGTGCCCACATTCTTTCGACCACTGTTTATTTGGGATCTTATTTTTTTCAGTGGGACTTTTCAAGAGAGACAGAATCAGAGCTAAAGAGTTCTATCCCATATACAAATTGTGGAGTTTCCATGTTTATTTCGTCTGTCTTGTTTCACCAGAAGATATTGAGGTGAGGAAAAAAAATTATTACGTAGTATTATACTTTTTGGAGATACAGGATGACAAAGTTTTTAATCAAAGTAAGAATTTGAATAGAAAGGTAGGTATATACGTTCATCCATGAATTTATAATCAAGAAAGTGAAAATTAACATACCATTCACTTCAGGGGCTCACTACTTGCAAGTACGGGAATGGCAATCTCGAGGTATCCCAGCCGGAGACTTTTCAACTTGTCTTGGATGGTATCCTCTTCACCCTTCAGTTTTCAATCTCTCCTATTGGCCTCAATTAGCCAATTCTTCTGTTTTCCTTCTCCACTAAAGCCCAACCCCGCCATGGTGCGGAGAGGACAAGCCGTGGCTTCTCGGCATACTGAGCATTTTGCGGACATCTTTGCTTTCAACACTCAGATGGGACAGTTTTGTGTACATCTGAGTGCAAGGATGGGGCATTTGTGAACATCTGCATGTGGCCGCGGATTGATATCGAGGTTCTGGCAACCTAATCCAAGTTGTGGGAACCCGTGGCGAGGAATGAATGGCACCGAGGTTATATGGTGTCGAACGGGACCTCAGGAAAACAGGGCGACATCTCGAAGTAAACAGCCTTAGCCCTGTGCAGGGGGTACCACTGGGCTGGACCAACCCCTTCTCCCATTCCTCGTAGGAGAAGGAGTACTTTTGGCCTTCTTCATGGACGAGACCAGGGCTCGGAGGAGTAGTATTCAGGAACCTGAACGAAAAGGGTCTTTCAAACGAGCTTCTGGTGCTATTAGCATCAGTGCTCACAGTAACTGTGGCGACATTTGAATTGGCCTTTATATAAAAATCATGGATCGTATATGGTTAAATCAATTACGGCATATTCGAGGTACAACGGTACAATGGACCAACAGGACTTAATGTCAATGGAGACTTTGGTCAGACGGGCATAGCCCAGTTGCGCCAATTTTAAACAGGTGCAAGAAATCGTATAACCCAATTGTGCCCGCAGCCGACCAGCTCCTAAAATCACCATGACCCACTTGCGCCGATTGTCTCTACGGAAGACCTATACAGATTATAGCGCTAGAGGATTTAGAAGATGGGAATGGTGCCCGATAGAAAATAGGGTTTTGGGAATTCTGATTTTACTTTCCAACTAAAATACTACAAATAATCATTGACAAAGTATACAAGACATTTATTCGAAGTGTACCAGGCATTTATTTATATACAAATTTCATTATGGTGATAAGACGCAATTTTCACAAAATCAAACCTCTCAATTTGTCCTTGTTTAAATAAATTTTATTTTTCGGCTAACATTTCAATTCTGTCTCTATACGATTTATTTTTAATTTTAATGGGTTAAAAGTCCTTCGATATTTGAACAAATTTAAAAATATTCGGATGAGGTGCATAAAAACTTTCAGTTAAATCAGAATGGAAGGATCCACAGCAATTTGTTGTTCTGTAACTACTAGCTTCAGTACAAGCCCAAATTTTAGGAGGAAATTTAGAATCCTCGTCTAAAAATGTCAAGCCAAGTGTCCAATGTAAAATACTTCGAATAAGTGAATCATTATTGAAAAGTAATATTCTCAGATATATTTATGAACACGAAAAAATGGATATATAAATAAAGAAATACATTGAGAATTCGCATTCTCCAAATATTAATTGTTTCTCGGTTTATTTAACAGAAAACAACTACTCTCCTGGCTATATGCCACGACGAATATTGAATAACATCTATTGAACACACATGATAATAATCATTGTTTTTGTATTCGGACATCAACCCTAAACTTTGAATTTTTCTAATCCAAGCTTGACTTAGATGAAATCTGCATCCTATAATTTTTGTTTCTGGTCACATAAATCTCATAGATAAATGCATTTAGTTTTCAAAATCCAATGCAACTTCAGCAGGTTCAAATTGATATCCTAGTTTTACGCTTTCTTGGCTTACGATTTCGAAACATTTGTTAAGGGTAGGGGGTGTTCTGATGATGAACAGGGGCAGTATGTCATTCATATATAACCTGCTGAGTCTATAGATTAGGCTTAGTTTTACCATCGGCGCAACAGGGTTATCATAAATTCCGGGCCCTTTTGAGACCTGTATTAGAACAGGTAGAATAGGCGCGATGGGGTTATCCTCGGTCAGACTTGCCTTGAAACAAGATGGAGTGTTCAGTGGGTACACCTACATGTAGGGATTTCCACACTACCATGAAGGAAATGGTCCTTCGTGGTGTCCATACAGGATTTTGACCATCTCCGAAAACAAAAAGAACCATCCTATACTTCTCTCATATACCTACCAACTATAATATTTAAGAAATCGGTATATCCATGTATACCATGAAACCAGTTCCGAATTCTTCAAAATTTGTGAAAATTCAAATACACTGACAGTAGGTATTTGAATATTCATGTCAATTCCAAATATATACCTTGAAAGTCAGGAATATATGTCCAGATGGTTTTCTAGATAGGAGCAATGAATAAAATGGGGTGTTGTATGAGAAATAATGGCACAATTAATCGCAAGACATTTTTTCAACTGTGATTGAACAGCAACATTGCAAAAGTCGTTGATACTTCTGAAGGTACTTCTGACCTCGCCGAAGGCAAACGCTCGGGTTAGGTTTTCAACCTCTGATATATTGATGCTTTCCAGGGCATCATTTTCCACAAAAATTCACTTCCATTTCGTTATATTTTTCTGGCTTGCATCACCACTTCATTATTTCTCTAACTTCTGAAACACCCTGTATATATGGAATGTATGGATATATAGAGTTTTCGGAGAGTAGGTAGGTCTTCAATATCTCAAATACTAGAGAAGAGTTCTCGTCCAACTCGAGTATCAACTATAAATCAAATTTCAGCTTGTCTTGAACAACGTTCAACATAATACGAAGAGCGATATATACAATTTTCTTCATGGATGGTTGGGAACTGGTTTATTGACAAGTTCTGGTGAGATAAAAAATATACACATTGATTGAAAAACCTGGTAATTCATTGTTTTGATAGGTTCAAAATGGCACAAAAGAAGGAAGATCCTGACACCAGCATTCCACTTCAGTATTCTACAACAATTTATTGACATCTTCAACCAAGAAACTGAGAATTTGGTCAGAGTATTCGAGGACAACTGTCACGAATCATATATAGATGTGGTAAAACCCATAACGGATTTCACTTTATATTCGATAGGAGGTAAGAAGTAATGGTATTTTCAAAAGTGAGGTATTTTTCTTTATCAGGATCAGCAAAAATAGAATTGCATATTAACGGAGCTGAGAGATATAATGCTTGTAGTTTCATTAATTCTTATATCACGAATCTGTCCTCGAGCCATCGAGATGATAGTTATACATTATACTCATACAAGGGAGAAAGTATTGGATTTAGCTAAAATCTGATATTTTTCCAGAGTATAATACACTTTTTCATGACAGGAAAACGACGATTCAATATTTTGTTGCAGGCATCTTTGTTGCTATGGAAATCTATTGAATTAATACAATATCTGTCAATTCAATTCTGCAATTTGATTTTGAAGAACTGCTAACCTAGTGGTTGTTTAGTAATTTACGAAACCGCTAAGTGTATTGGAAGTTGAAAAGGACTTGTTCATAAATACACAACATAGAATGTACTGATTACGGAGATGCTAATATTCTCGATGTTGTGTATTTATCAATAACCACACTTTTGATGTTTTATTTTCTACCTTTTTTTAGTTTGACTATCTATAAAAGGGTGTTTCTTTAGTCTTTTAAAATACTATTCATATTTATGCCTACTTACCTATATACTTACCAATATTTTACCATTCTTATTTTCATTGGTACCCTATATTGCTTATTTAAAGGAAGCCACACCGTTTTCAAATCTAACTTTAAAGGACGCGCCTATTTCGTTACCCGCGAGCGTTTCCAATATCGATCTGATAGTAACTATTATGTAACGTCGAATGGAATATAACAAACAAATATTTTGAATTAATTTTTTTTTTTCATCACCATGACAAGTAAAGGTATATTGATGTGAACAAGCTTTGTCTGAATAATGATAAATCGACCTGTGTTATTTTCAAATCTTCTGGTTCAGAATATCCTAACCACATAACTCTAAATAATACAGAAATCAACTGCGCTCTAAATACTAAACTGCTTGGTGTTAATTTAGAAAGTAACCTGGAGTGGTATGGACATGTAGATAGTTTGTGTTCGAAGCTAGCTAGGATATATGCTATGCCCTTTTCATTTCATCACAACAATGTAGTAGAGAAATAATTAAACAATTTTATTTCGGATGCTTCCACTCAAATTTAAAATATGGAATCATGCATTGGGCGAATTCCGCAGAAGCTCATAGGGCCTTCACCTTACAAAAAAGGGCAGTCCGTATCTTGGGAAATCTGAGAGCAAGAGATTCATGCAGAGAATATTTTAAAAAACTGGGTATTTTCACAATGATTTCCCTTTACATTTATGAAGTAACCTGTTTTGTATTTAATCATAAACGTTATTTTGAGACTGAAAAAGTCGAACATAATTACAATACAAGGAACAAAGATTATCTGTTGCCACCTCAACACTCATCTGCTCGGTATCAGAAAAGTTTATATTACAATGGATGTAAATTATACAATTGCCTGCCAAAATCTATACAAGAATTAAAAAATAAATTCCAATTCAAGAATAAAATCTTTCATCTCGACGTCCATGTTGATTTGTAAATATTTTTGGATTATTGAACTTTGAGAAATATAAGCTGGATATATTTCATTCCATACACATCCATCTGTTATCAGCGCACAAATGGCCCATAAAGGTTTGGGGAGGAATTATTGGAGAACATGTAATGGGACCATAATCATATCTTCCATAATATACCTTGACAGAATAGCTATTTATATATCAAGTATACTTTTTCCCCCCGCGTGGGAAATTTGATACACGACGCGTAGCGAAGGGCATTAAACACACATGGGAGGACATGAACCTTTGCTCCCATGATATATATATATGATTTTATCAACGAACGCATTTTTTTAATGCATCATTCTTGAAATTGTACTTCAGGCGGTCAATCTCTCATTATGCATTACAAACATAGTATGCCATGAACAATTGACGGCATTGAACGAAGTCAATTTGACACTTCTGTCATCATGAATCAATTGATTTGTATATTGTGTTACTTAATTTGATATAGTTTTGATTAGAAGTACGTTCGGAATATGAAGAAGCATATGATATCATTGGACTTCAAAAGGGTAAATTATTGTTATTTATCTCATAATAGTGAGGAAGACACTGATTACTTCGATTGCACAAACTCTATACAGGGTGTCCGGAAATTATGCGCAAAAAATCAAGGGAGTGATTCTACATGATGAAATAAGAAATTCATTGTATATGTACGTGGGTCCGGAAATGCATAGTTTTCAACATACAGTGTGTTAAAACTTTTAAAAAATATCGGTGTTTTATGAATATCTCAAATGTCCTTCCACCGATTTTTTTGAAATTTGGCAATGATATTTTTTGTCATGAGGGGCTGATATAGCTATAATTAAATTGCGATTATGAAATTCAGTGGCGTCCCGGGGGGCAACCAACCGAATATTATTGTCAATAAAATTTGAGCCACTGATTTTTTTGAATTCTGTATCTTCACAACCTATTGACCAACTAAAAATACAACATTTTGGTTTCTTGAGTTATTTTGATAATTTGCTTCATTTCCATGGAAAAAAGTAAATACCTACCAATTTATTGTTTGAATTTGTGCCAAAATATTCCTTCAAAAACTGGGGTGAAAATAAATGCGTGATCAATGTCCATAGACATAGAATAAGTATGAAGATTAATTTCTCCAAATATTTCTTGATACATGTTTGACACACTCAACACTCTGTATATTGAGAACTATGTATTCTCGGTCCAGGAAGGCGTAGTTTTCGATAATACAAATAAGTGTGTCAAACATGTATTATAAAATATTTGAAGGAAAGGAATCTCCATTCTTATTCTACGTCTATGGACATGGATCATACATTTAATTTCACCCCTGTTTTTGAAGCAATATTTTCCACAAATTTATACAATGAATTGGTATTTATTTTTTTCCACGAAAACGCAGCAAAATAGCAAAACAATTCAAGCGACCAAAATGTTGTATTTTTAGTTAATTATTAGGATATGAAAATATAGAATTCAGAAAAATCAGTGGCGCACATTTTATTGACAATAATATTCGGTAGGGTGCCCCCGGGACGCCCCTGGATTTCACAATTACAATTTGATTATGGCTAAATCAGCCCCTCATGACAAAGAATATCATTGCCAAATTTTGAGAGAATTGGTAGAAGGGTATTCGAGATATTCATAAAAAACCGATTTTTTCTAAAAAGTTTAACACACTGTATCTTGAAAACTATGCATTTCCGGCCCAAGCATATATGAAATAAATTTCATGTTTTCTCATGCAGAATCACCCCCTTGATTATTTGCGCATAATTTCCGGACACCCTGTATAAGTATATCGACGCCAAAGGATGCAAGCTGGAGCCAATTTATTTTACCTAAAAAAATTGTTCTAAAATTGTTCTATCCGTCATTCGGTTGCCCCCTTACGAGCAACCCTCAGAAGTCTTCGAAAGTCTTGTGCGAGCAAGGAATGACGGGGGCCTTACCTTTTAACGTGTGATCCCAAACACTTTCTTAGGCCATCAGAAAAAGTCTGCGTTCGTGGGTCTCGAACCCACGATCGACACCTCGACGTGAATCGATATTGAAGCATCGAAGCACTGAGGTACGCCTCCCACGGAAGTTAAAAGTTTTTCCTCCCGTGGGAGTAAATTGATACCTTTGTTTCCTCAAATGAGGGAGCAAACGTCTCCTTTCGATCCAGTGAGTATATAAGCTATTTAATCAAACTTCTTGAAAGAATTTGTCGCTATATTCTGTAAATCTTCATGAAATTAATATAATGTGGTTGCAGCAAGATGGGGCTTCACTTCATTATTTGAATAAGGTATAACACTTGGGAGTAACGAACCCACTAATCCCCTGATTTTTCAAGCATATGAATTTTTCTTCATGAAGATACATGAAGGAATTTGAGTATAGAGATACATCAAAAACAATAATTGAAGGTATGAAAGAAATTATCATAAATGCTCCAGGATATAGGAGACTCTTTGGAGGAAATCATTGTTAAAATTCCTAACAGAAAATAACTACTTTGTTGAATTGAATTTAGACAATATGATAGCAACGCCGTATGGGAATTTCGGTTTTGGAGGGTTTCTCTCCTTCTTTTCTACTCAGATGGCGTTGTCCATATTGTCTATGGAGGACACCTCTGAGGGAATATAATGCCAACTTGATTTTTGTTTGGCTAGGCTACGCTTAGTCGGCGGTCTTAAGACTGTTGGCTGGAGACTGCCCTGCACTGATGAGAGTGAAAGAGCTCGAAACCGGTCTGTAGGTGTCTATCGTGGCCTGGCTAAATCGAAATCAATAGGCATTGAGGAAATGATCACTTGTATCAGTATTCGTTTATACGAGTCGATGCATAGATTTCGGGAGGATGTAATTCAATGTTCTGCGTGGCATTAGCCAAGAAAGTAGTTGTTTTTCTCCGCAAATCCAGCATTGTTGTTTATTTTATGAACATTGTATAGAAATGACTTTGAGCTATTTGCGAGGCTTTTTGTAATTATTTGAATGATATCATGATGATTCCCTCTTAGATTTTATAATTGCGACGATAGTGATTTTTTCGGTATGCACTGAGAGAAACTGGATATTAAAAATATCTACCAGCTCTGATTGTAATAACCATTATAAGGAAATCTCCTATCCCTGATGATCATTTTATTATTACAACAGTATTCTCTCCATTCTGTAATTATAAAAATCGATTTCTTAAATCATTTGTAATGCCCTTGAATGGACATTTGCTACCATCATAACGCAGGTGTGTTATGACATTATGAGAATTTTATAAATTCCAGTCTATTCAGATTTTTTATTGACATAGCTCGTTTTGTGAATTATGCTCATTGGCGAATTCAGATAATCTTTGTCCCAATAATCATAGCTGTTTGGGTTTCTAGCATTGTACGTTGACGAATAACTCTAGCAATTCACATGTATGACGGTTATTAGGCAATCATTCGACAATCGTAATTCGGCTCATTTCGCTCTAGTGTTTCATTAGTATTGAGGCTGTCAAAGATACAGATCGCGTTCATTTCTCTGTTCTCGGTCATGGGTGCCGTGTTCAATTATTGTTCAATGGTTTCGATCGTCCGAATCGAAAGAGCCGTGTCTTGTTGGTGAATGTCTGTGATGTAGCAAAGTTTTGTTTTAGTGCTGGCTGTGAACCGATCTGTCGTGGAATACACCGTGCATTGCATTATTGCAATGAAAAAGTATTCTCCATACCCACTTTTCAAGGCCTAAAATTGGTTTATTTCAAAAACAAAATGATCGATGAGATTCTGAATCAAAATATCTGGGTTTCTGTGAGGGAAGTTTTATTGACAATTCTCATCATAACTCCGAAGGAAGGGTAAATATATAAGTATTCAACTTCTCATTTCTTAATAAATTCGTCAGTAATGCATACCATAGATGATATTTCTCCGAAAAAATCAATGAGTAATGTCAAAAAACTTCCACAGATACCCCAATATTTCAATTCAGAGACTAAACGTATTTTTTTTTTTTTTTGAAAACAATAACTTTGGATCATGAAAAGTGATAGTGTGGATAGGATATTCATTTTCATTGCAGTAATTCAAAGCACGGTTTCATAATGCATACCATCGAATAATGTTGATTATAGATAACCTTATTACCACTGTTTGATGAATATAAATACTAGAGTAGAAAAATATTGGGATAACTGTTGAAAATGAGCTACATTACAATAGCATGTCGAAATGTCAGGTTTCATGCAGATATCAGATAACTATAATAAAATGAGACGAATTACTGCGTTACCTCAAGATGGTTGTTCCAGTAATAAAAACATGCTGTTTTATGTCGACAGTCTAATAACCACTGTAGAGTGGAGAGTTACTGCAACATTTTATGGGAATAATTCCTATTCGACATTCCGTGTTATCATAGAAACTAGAACAAGTAGTAGTTATTCAGCAGCGGTGTTTTTATACAAGTTTGCAAATTGAATAAGCTGCCATAACTACGAGTCACCTGAAAATTCATTTCATCTATGGTAGCACATGAACACATCTGTCGCCTATTTATTGCAGATATCGTAATAACGGTTATCAGATTTCCAATTATGATAACTCAAGTTTTCTCTCAGTGTGGATCTGCTGATGACATTATTTCGACAAAATAAATTCATAACTTTGATATGATCGAGGTACAGTCATTGATATTTTGAGGGTGATATAGTCAATGATATTGTAGGATACAGTGATGCTTCGAAAAATGTGCTAATATGAGAATATTTGAAAATAATTCTCTGTATATTATTATTCCAGAAACATCTCTAGGAGTTAAACTCAACGAGTATCCAAGTTCTGACACTTACAAAAAAGCAGTCTACGAATATGGACACAATCTAACCTACAGGATCGTCAGACCATGGTTCTACACGGATTTCGTTTACAGCTTCACAACCAAGTATGTAAACAGATAAACCACGTCGGATTCATCATGGGAATATACAGGGTGTTCGGTTCACCGGCGTATATCTGAAAGGGGGGTGAAATGTGAGAACATTTCGAACACATTTCACCATTTACACTTCTCCCAGAAATTAACGCACCAGCAAAAAGTAGCCAAAAGTTTGAGATCCATTTTCGTCATAACCACTTGTCTGATTTACACGATTTTTCTTTTGACTGACAGGTTATCTCCTTCTGAATGGATGAATGTAGACTGCAGCTTTTCTATACATACTGGGTGCAGCAGTTACAGCGTGTTTTTTTCATGAAATTTGTAATACCTTGTAGAATGTAGAGTGTATTAGTTACCATATCAAGGTAACATTGGACTAACACTTCAACCTTATCTTTCTTCAACGTTTCTTTTTTGAATGCAATCCATTATCTTTCCTATTACTCGATAAACACCATTTTATAGTGTAACATGAATTTATTGAACATTAATATCCAAATCCATGGTAGCAATACCGCCTTCCTCTAGATAATCTTTAGCCTCTACTTACGTGCTTATAATACCAATTAAATGCAAAAAAATCATGTCATGCTATGGAACTGTGTTTCTGGGGTAATAAGAAAGATAATGGAGTGAAATGTTGGAAAAAGATGAGACTGAAGTGTGATTTCAATTCTAACTTGATACTGTAGCTGTGACACTCTACAGGGTATTTCAAATTTCATGAAAAAACTCGCTACAATTGCTACACGAATACAATTCGCACACTGATTAATGTTCAGAAGTAAATAACCTGTCATTCGAAACAAAAAACGTCCAAATCGAACAGGTACTGTTGACGAAAATGCTTCTCAAACTGTTGGATACCATTTGATGGTGCGTTTATTTCTGGGAGATATGTATATATTATTGTTCAAAGTGTTTCGAATTTAGAGATATTCGTTCTTCTAAAATTTTGTCTGATTGTTCCTAGCATTTTCTTTCCATTGTCTTCTCATGGTAGGCATGGCATTTGCTGATATTTTGACGTTTGTTGAATTATTCAATTTAGTGAATGTCATTGCTGCCTCCTCTCCTTATCCTCCCTAGGAACGCACGATGTTCTCTGAACATTATAGGGATTCCCTTTCGTGCGCTCCAAGCGATAAAAAATAAAAAAAAAGTCTTATAGTAATCATGGAAATGAATACTAATTAGCGGGCGTTATGATTTATAATTCCCAATAATGGGAGTGTTTTTGGTGCATGTCGATGTTGTGATTTTTTTTCATATCTTGAAGCACACGAGAGGAACTCCCTATAATGATCGAAGGAATTCTGGTATATACCCAGAGAGGATAGGAAAAGGAATTTCTCTCGTACTCATGGAGGATATAAGTTCATGGGAATACTTCCTTTGGCAAGGAATCCCAAAGCTTTGCCGTTCTATAGTGTTGCTCAAAGAAAAACGCTTTGTAATAATTAGACATTCAAAATGGTGTTATTCAACAGGTCCAAATCAGATCGCGCTGCCATCAAAGTTTTACACGAGTTTTCCACTAAAGTCATCAAGGAGAGGAAAAAAGTTGGAGTAGCTAGCGAACATATTTCAAGCATCTCGTATTCTGGCAAGAAGAGGTTGGCCATGCTGGATTTGATGTTGACAGCTAAGAATGAGGGCGCTGATATCGACGATGAAGGAATTCGAGAAGAAGTAGATACTTTCATGTTCGAGGTGAGATTTCAATTACTTTTCTCGTTTCGTCTCGATTTCAGAATATAATCGTTCATTGAAATTCTAATTGAAACTTTTCTAACCAATATTCACTATGGAATTTCTTCGTCTTGAGCACAAGACTGAGACGAGGAAGTTAGCAGTTAGTCTCAAAGATGTTTATGGAATAGGTACAGAACAGGCATCTTCAAAGATTTAACAATATACCTAGACTCTACAAGGTCCGCTTTTGCTTTACTATTCTCTACAAACCATTGAAATTTGAAAGTGACATAAAAAAACTGGGAGGACCATCGACAGGGCTGCATGTATGGCAAACAATAGATATACAGAGTGCTCTGACGAAAAGTATGCACCTGTTTTTTTTTTCATTCTTTTGTAGGAATTCAAAGCAAACATGCTCGACACATGAATTTTGCTTTTGTGGGAGACACATTTCAGAAATTTTTCTCAGCAACCTTTGCCCTCAACCCTCTAGCAAGGGGGTGTAACAACTCAAAAATTTGAAATGGAAAGTGAGGTCGAATGACATATATCATTTGAAAGTGTACCAAATAATCATTCTAATGATATCCCAGTTGTTTGAATTTACCCAAATATTGCGGAATCGGCTGTAGAATATTGATCCGATTATTTTGGTAATGATGGAAAATACAAATTGGTTTTGGTATTTAGGAATTAGAATAACGTCTATGATTTCAAAATAACTCAATTTCAATGAATGCGAGATTTCAAAATTTAAATGGTTTTTATCACAACCAAATACCCCATTTATTTTATCTTAGCCAACAGATGACAGCAGAGTGTTGAAGCATAACACCTGAACTGCTATAAAATGTTGGGAATATATATTCGAACGAAGTCTGTGTATGGAGGCAAATTGGTCACATTTCCAACACATGTTGAAGTAATAGTAAATCATAAAAACCATCTATCTTTCCCAAAGTGGTCCAATATTTTTTTTCAAAGAGAAACAGAAATACATCAAGGTGGTCGACCAACTTGGTATAATTCTATTTTTCTTCAAAGTAACGTTATGATAAATCAATTTGACAGCTTTTTTATCATTTTTTCACAAAGCATTGTTACAAGAAACAAACATCGGAACCAAACTACCAATTGTAATTTCTTTAAATTCAAATGAGTAAAAATTTGCCTTGTTCATCAACACCAAAATCATCAAGTTAAATGTTTGAGTAAAGTTCAACAAATAAATAGGGTTTCATTAGAAAGATATTGTTGTGCTTTTTCGAGTGATAATATTCATTGAAAAGGAATATTCTCAGATGAAATCGCTTTCTCTATGTAATGAAAATATCAATTTTTTCTCGTTTCATTCAACAGAAATAATTAATCACATGAATCACAAGTTTTTTGGGATATTTGTCAGCTAAATATAAAGGCGGATTTATAAACTTGAACTTGCGTTGCTGTTCTCTGTTGCCGTTACCGTTCACTATTCAGTTTGTCTGATGTTTAACTGTTCAATGTATAAACTTGACGTTGGTCAGAGATTATACAGCGTTGGTAGAGTGGCCGTTGGCTCAAATATATAGCATACCCTCATCTCACATAACCTCGTTTCATTTTGGGAACATTTGTGTGAATCGTATCTAAATAATAAAAATATGGATAATTTAGACGAACAACATCAATCCAAACGAACAGACAAAAAACCGAGTTGATGAAATACTAAAAAAAGGTGATAAAACTGTGAAATGCATACACCCGTATACCTCAAATAAGACTGTATACCACGTTATTCTCTGTCGGTGTTTTCATTGGTTGACTGTTGAACGGTAACTGAACGTCAACCGCCAAAGTTGAAACATCTGTGAACGACATCCAACGTTTCCCCAACTCCCAACGTTAACAGCAACGGCTTTCATAAATGCCAGTTAACATTCTATACAGGGTGTTCATTTCAGGACTTCCCACCCTAATTTTCTCGAAATGTGTGTATGTTTTTGAAAAATCCCGAGACACGTCAACTACATTTTCGAGGGGGACATGGTTCTAAAATATTTTCAGCCCCGCGGCGTTGCCGCTTCTAACGAAAAGAAGCAACAACTTTGTTATTTCGAATGGAACACCCTGTATTTTATTGCATTTTTAGATTCTCCCTGAAAATCTGATTTCATCAATGCATCACACTTGGGGTCTAGCAGGAATGATTACAGAGATATAGGGTGTTCAAAATCGAGATTTTACAACTTTAGGATTTTTTTGAGTCGAAACTATTCATTATTGGTCAAAACGGCTTTCATGTCCCTATCTCAACTATTGATTTACTATCTACTGACATTTATTTGAAACAAATACAGGGTGTTCAAAAGTCTGAATCTTGAACCACCCTGTATTTGTTTCAAATAAATGTCAGTAGATAGTAAATCAACAGTTGAGATAGGGACATGAAAGCCGTTTTGACCAATAATGAATAGTTTCGACTCAAAAAAATCCTAAAGTTGTAAAATCTCGATTTTGAACACCCTATATCTCTGTAATCATTCCTGCTAGACCCCAAGTGTGATACATTGATGAAATCAGATTTTCAGGGAGAATCTAAAAATGCAATAAAATACAGGGTGTCCCCCTCGAAAATGTAGTTGACGTGTCTCGGGATTTTTCAAAAACATACACACATTTCGAGAAAATTAGGGTGGGAAGTCCTGAAATGAACACCCTGTATTAACTGGCATTTATGAAAGCCGTTGCTGCTAACGTTGGGAGTTGGGGAAACGTTGGATGTCGTTCACAGATGTTTCAACTTTGGCGGTTGACGTTCAGTTACCGTTCAACAGTCAACCAATGAAAACACCGACAGAGAATAACGTGGTATACAGTGTTATTTGAGGTAAACGAGTATGCATTTCACAGTTTTATCACCTTTTATTAGTATTTCATCAACTCGGTTTTTTGTCCGTTTGTTTGGATTGATGTTGTTCGTCTAAATTATCCATATTTTTATTATTTAGATACGATTCACACAAATGTTCCCAAAATGAAACGAGGTTATGTGAGATGAGGGTATGCTATATATTTGAGCCAACGGCCACTCTACCAACGTCAAGTTTATACATTGAACAGTTAAACATCAGACAAACTGAATATAGTGAACGGTAACGGCAACAGAGAACAGCAACGCCAAGTTCAAGTTTATAGATCCGCCTTTATATTTAGCTGACAAATATCCCAAAAAACTTGTGATTCATGTGATTAATCATTTCTGTTGAATGAAACGAGAAAAAATTGATATTTTCATTACATAGAGAAAGCGATTTCATCTGAGAATATTCCTTTTCAATGAATATTATCACTCGAAAAAGCACAACAATATCTTTCTAATGAAACCCTATTTATTTGTTGAACTTTACTCAAACATTTAACTTGATGATTTTGGTGTTGATGAACAAGGCAAATAAATTTTACTCATTTGAATTTAAAGAAATTACAATTGGTAGTTTGGTTCCGATGTTTGTTTCTTGTAACAATGCTTTGTGAAAAAATAATGAAAAAGCTGTCAAATTGATTTATAACAAAGTTGTTGCTTCTTTTCGTTAGAAGCGGCAACGCCGCGGGGCTGAAAATATTTTAGAACCATGTCCCCCTCGAAAATGTAGTTGACGTGTCTCGGGATGTTTCAAAAACATACACACATTTCGAGAAAATTAGGGTGGGAAGTCCTGAAATGAACACCCTGTATATTCTCTGAACGGCAACTGCAACAACGAACAGCAACGCCATCTTCAAGTTTATAAATCCGCCTCAATCGTTTTTCTTTTGGCAGGGTCACGACACCACTTCAATGGCGATATGTTATACCTTGATGGCCCTAGCTAATGAACCAGAAATACAGGTATCTATCAACTTGAGCTTCATATTTCCTATGAAAATTGGCCTGATGAGGCTTGGTGTGCCGAAACATTACAACTTTTTCCCTCTTGCTGACAATGGGCTAATTCACTGATTTTTCTCATATTATATAAAAATATCTGAATGATTTCGAGGTCTCAAAATCACGATAAAGGAAGTCAGAGTCTCATTAGAGAGTTTGTGCATGGGGAATTTTCCGCTTATAAAACCTCATGTTATGCTCATGTTTTTGACATCAGTCTTATAATATTAGTATACCGTAAACTGTTTTACCTATGGCCACTATAGAAAGTAGAACGTAACTTTTCCATTCGTGTGTAATATTCTTCTTACAACACATATTACGTAATATACTGTTCCTTACCCAATTTCTGAAAATAACAGAACCAATAAAAAAGATACCTTTATGAATGACATGACACTTGAAACCTGTCTCTTGTTATTTCTCATTGATTGACATTTTTGAACCAAAGGATGGCCCAAGTCTAAAATAAACCCTCCAAGCAGCAAGAAATATATGACATTTTTTATACCGTATATTTATTATCTATAAGCCTTTCGCAAAAACTCCTTCCGCAATCTCTCTATTCGAACGATCGAAAATTGCCTCTTATAACTACTGACGTCACTTCTCAGTGACTGAAATACATTGTTGCCAGATGTCAAAGTACCTGTCTGGGAATAAACAGAACTCGTTTGTCTATAAACGTTATTTAAATCATGAATTATTGCTCTTCCACTATATGTCCAAAAGAATATTTTCATATTTTCAACTGGATCATAATCTCCTTCATACAGGGTGTCCCGAAAAGATACCGACAAACTAAAAAGGGTGATAGGCAAAACAAGCATTTTTGTTTATGTACACGCGTATATCTACAAATGAGCCGTTTGAGCTGTAGAGAAAAAAACTAACTATAGAGAGAAAACACTATTCAAATCATACGCAAATAATCAAAGAAGTTTTTCACTCAATATTCATTCAGTTGGCCACGAGCTGCAAATCATTTGTTCATCATGAAAATTACGAAAATTCCTACGTTGGAATCATCGTAAAATTCATTGATTGTGCATGATTAGTTGCTGGTATAATATTAACTCACCCTGATAGCATACTGAAGTCACATGGACGTCCATAGGACGTCCCACTGGAACATTCGGGACGTCCATAGGACATGCAATCTTGGTACCACGGACATCCATAGTACGTCAGTGGGAAGTGCAAATGTCCCGAATTCTCACCAAAAAAAAAAATACATTGAACCTCTTTGGGAAATCATCCAATGGACGTCCTTTCAAAAACTTCATTGACCATTCTGTTTTTCCACCGAGGTCATTCATAGGACATTCTCCGAAAAGTCCTCTGGAATGTCCAGAGGACGTCCTCTGGAACCTCCATAACACGTCCTCTAGAACGATTATAGAACGTCCCTGGAACTTCCATAGGACGTCGTCTGAAATGATCATAGGATGTCCCTGGACGTACGAATCCATCTTGACTTTGAATTTATTTGAGTCTCCCTAGGACCAGATCTTGCATAACAGATGAGAACATCCAGGTAAGTTGATGGTCCGTAGAAGGTCCTCAATAGATCCTGAAGAAGATTCCCTAGGATGTCCAATACTTGCGTAAAGGACATTGACATGGGGTATTTATAGCCTACGATCAGTAGGTCGTCGGTGAGGTGTGTCCTCGCAGGAACAACATATCTCGCGTACCGACTAGACGTTTTTCCTAGGATAATGAAAATTATCATTCGCTTGCATGAAAAACATTCATATAGGATGTCTATCTGAAGTCCTGATGCCAATGTATCATGTCCTTGTATGGACAATCTACTATTTTAACCACGTGGAACGTGTAAAGGATGCTATATTTCTAGGACATTTGATATAATGTACCAGCTGGCATATTCCATGGACGACCTTGCTCGGGCATTGCATGAGACGTATGGGATGGGACGTCCCAAGCACAATTATTTTAGGTCCGGGTCATTCGGACTTGAATTGTTCCAAAAAGGAACGTCCCTAGGAGGTTGCGTGCTATTAGTGATAGTTTGAAACTTGCAATGAAAATGTCGAATAATTTCTCATTTGAATAACTTTCTGATATGCACGGTTCAGCTCTGTGCAATGGAAGAAGAGTAGCTCGCTTGTATGAAGAGAGATATCTGGAGTGTAAGCAACGGTAGACAACCTCATCACACAACTTTTACTTCTATCCATCACCGTCTTAGAAGGACTGATCCTGGTGGAGCTGGTCGTCCAAGAACAGCTCGAACAGTTCAATTTGAAGAAGTATTACATGCACCGCCAAGAAAACCAATCTACAAGTGTTCATGCAATTGCACACCATAATATGAGATGTTCTTAAGGATAACATTACATTAAAGCCTTCAGAGAGATCTCATCTACCCATTTCATTTACAACGCGTACAAGCTTCAAATCCTGTAGATTATCCACACCGATTGGCCATTGGTTTTTGGATCACAAAGAACCTGATTTTTCACGTATATTGTTTTTGGATGAGACATGTTTCACGCGCGATGGTTATTTCATTAGAATGAACAGCCATATTTGGCATGATGACTGTTTACTTTCTGCCTCATCGTTTGGGCGCAAATATTCATCTCCATTCTTTTGCAAAACACACGTCTCCAAGAAATTAACTCACCACCAAAAAGTTGCCGAAAGTTTAGGAAACATTTTCGTCAAAAGTGCTAGTCCGACTTGGACGTTGCTTGTTTTGAATGACAGGTTATTTCCTTCTGAACATTGGTGTGCACACTGTATTCGTATTAGAACATCTTCTTTATGAATAGCGGATGTAGTAATTATAACGTGTTCTTTCATGAAATTTGTAATACCCGGTGGGATGTAACAGTTACGTTATCATGATCTTTCCTATTACTCCAGAAACACCATTTTGTAGCTTACTTAACATGATTTTATGGAAAATTAATATCCAAATTGAATAACGAAAAAGCGAAACAGAAGTCACAAATTGAACGAAAGGGTCAGTAGCGAGTATTTCCGTCGAGGGAAAGGAAGACTTCTCGGCAAAGACGGCCTATACCCAAAAGAAGAGACCTAATGTCATGTTGGTCCAAGTCTTCCCAAACTTGAATCATCAGTCTTTGCCATGCGTTTTCCAAAGTATTCAAGTGGTGTTCCTCTTCAATTTAAATACTAGCTCCGAGCAGGCCATGCCATGGTAGCAATAAAGACTTCCTCCAGATAATTTCTCATAACTCGGATATTGTCACGAGTAGAACATACGGTATATCAGTAATTTCGAACCATGAGGGTTTTATAAACATAAAGTAAATCAAATCATCCGTTGACATTGAATTATAAAAACTGACCAAGGAACTCTCATGAGAAACGTGCATTTCTAATAAAATGATGTATATAAATATTGGATGTGAGGGTTCCGAAGTTAGTCTGGTCTGGGGCTACTCTTGACTTGACAAGAGCTCGTCGTGATGGTCGTTATAATGTAAGTTGTTATTAGGTCTTTATATTCATTGTTGTTTATTCATAATTGTTATCGCTACCCATAATGTTTCATGCTATTATAAATATTGTTATGTTTGAATGTAGTCTCGTACTTTCAGTTTCCCCTAAACTATTAGTGCCTATTTGAATATTACCTCTCACAAACTATTAAGCCAAGCATAAACCGATATGGATGGGATAACCTCAGACGCTGATAACCTCCTATCATATCGTATCTTTTGTTGTGACAAAAATCATCACGTACCCTATAATATGTGGTTCTGGAATCAACAATATACATGTACTTTTTAGCTATAAGGCTTTCATTTATGATCAAAAGTTCTATGCGACCAGTCAAAGAAATTCCTTTCCAGAACATAGCCTGCTACTTTCGTGCTTATAATGAAAATTGAAATCAATAAAATCATGTTATGCTATAAAATTGTGTTTCTGGAGAAAAAGGAACGATAATGGAGTGAATCCAAAACAGGAAAGTTGATAAAATATAAGGCTAAAGTGTACTTTCAATCTCAACTTGATAACGTTACTGTTACACTCCACAGGGTATTGAAAATTTCATGAAAAAAACACGCTATAAGAGGAGCATCCCACGATGCCCAATTCCCACGATGCCCAATTCCTACGTTCCCACCTTCCTGTCGACGATAACGAACATTGCCGAAGAGCGCAACGTTGCCAGGTGGAGAAAGAAATCCAGAAAACACAAGATTCCCATCATGCCCACTTTTCATAGATTCCCACGATGCCCGCTATAATTGCTACATCCGATATTCATAAAAAAGAGGTTATATTATGGATACAGTTTGTACACTAATGTTTAGAAGGAAATTACCTGTCATTCGAAACAAAAAATGTCCAAATCGGGCAAGTAGTTTTGGCAAGAATGTTTCCTAAACATTTGGCTACATTTTGTGATGCGTTAATTCCTTGGAGAAGTGTATGTTGCATCTATTATTGCAATATTTCTCCTCAAACCTTGAAAATGTGGTTTTAACATATAACGAAACACTTCCACAGCTCGGTGTAAACGTGTTCCGGTACTTAGATCAACGATCTCTCCAAAACGCTGGATTGGAAAAAGAGGTCATGTAGCCAGGCCAGCACGCTCTCCTGATTTCAAATCTCTAGATTATTTTTCTTTGGGGTTATCTGAAGAGTTTCGTCTACGTGATAAGGAAGGTTTGCTAGCAAGTATAATTGTGACTTGTACCCATGTAAAAGCTATTCCTAGAATATTCCAAAGGATTCCTAATAATGACTCGACAGTGCAAGCTTTACATCGAAGTAAATGGTCAACATTTAGAAAAATTGTTGTAAACCATAATTTATTTGTTAATGAAGCAAATTGATGAGTAATAACAGTGTTTTAATTATTACGCAGTATGACAGTTTTTTTTGCTCTACAGCCCTAACAGCTCATTGACGGACATATGTTTATATAAACAAATATCTGAAATCCAATGTCTTTGAATAGTAATATTTCTGATGAATTTAGTTAAATATAACATAGTATATTTTTTCAATAGAAGTCGTTGATTCCACTCGTTATAGTAACTACAAGTTTTAATACTCGAATTTCAGGAAAATTAAAAACATTAATTCGTTGTCAACCATGTCATCAGCTGATAATACATGTCTACATAGTTTCAAAATCGGAGGTTTCAAATGAAACTGAGTGACTTTTGTCAACAGATATAATATAATATATGAGGCGCTCCATTTTTGGCAGAAAAATTATCATCACTTATTAATTCCATTAAGTTAATAGGAACTAACAAAATTATCGCGATAATTACCTGTTGCTATGAGCAACGTAAACAGAAAGGAACCGTCTAATTAGTGGAAAATGAATTTATGAAATTTTCTGAATAATAAAATTGAACCGCTTCAATTGTTCATTATTTTTTTTAGGATGAAATTCGGAGAGAAATTCACGAAATAATAGGAGACTCATCGAAGAAGCCCACTTTCAGCAATTTAGGCGAATTGAAATTCACGGAAAGGTGTATAAAAGAATGCCTAAGGCTCTATCCCAGCGTGCCGTTTATATCAAGACTGTCTGGAGAAGAAATCCAAACTCATTCAGGATATACTATCCCAAAAGGAGCCAATATAAACATTTACATATTCGATCTACACAGGAGTACACACATTTGGGAAAATCCAGAGAAATTCGATCCTGATAGATTTTTGCCAGAGAACGTCTCAAAAAGACACCCGTTTGCCTATTTACCTTTCAGTGCTGGACCCCGCAATTGTATAGGTCAGTAAAAACCGAGGAGTAAGTACTTAGCAATTTTTTGTACACCAGGGAGCCATGAATGCCCCAATCCACCAATGACCAACAATACCAAAATTGCCCCTCAATACGAATACACCTATCTCTTTACATTGCATGTGTTGAAAAGACACGAATAATATCGAAATGGAAAGAACACTTCCTTTATGTCTCCTATATAAAGTTTTTCAATTTATTGTCATGATAAATCATTCAACTCAATAGAAAACAATGGATATTTGTTCAGGATTTCTCTAAAAACCACACATACCAAGCAGTCAAATTTGTTAAACATCAATGAAAAATAAACAATAAACGCGTATTCGCAAATACAACTCAGAATTAGGTATTATTAGACGAACCATTTTTTTCTATTTATGATTCAGTGATTTCATTTATGGAAAAGTAATTTTTCATGGAAGAAATACCAACTCATGAAATGAACAAAAAAACACTAGAATCGGATTAAAATCTCGATAGGAATATTGTAAGGGTATAAACATTTTTTTTATATTCTTCAAAATTCAAGGATTCGCAAAAAAGGTATGGAAATTTCGTTGAACGAATTTGAATAGGTATAGAAAATGAAGTAGAGAACCCTCTGGAAAAGCTGACTAGGCTAAGCGAGTGCATAAAATCCGAAACAAAAAGTGGTTCGAAATCTAATATAAGTTGTAGATCCCGCTCATCCTAACCCCACACAAGTTTCGACTTCTGGGAAGTTGGTTCCCAACTTCGAGCCAGCCCTGGTACATATACAAAATGAAGGCGCAGGCATCACCTCGAACAACAGAAGTGGATATGCGCCCAACAAATTTAGCCCAAACATTGCACCATTCAGTGTCCCTTCAATTCCTTGCATTGCCTAACAGTGCCCCACAATGCCAAACAAAGCCTTGCAATGTACAGTGCCCGACAATGCCCCCACATTGCCTCGCATTTCCCCGCAATGCTCCTAGGATGTACACCGGATTGCCCCGCATGTACTTACCCCTCGGTAAAAACACTCAAAATAAACTGAATGGAAAGATGAGAAATAATATAATCAAATACACAAGATGATCCATTTTTTCAATATTGACTTTGAGAAGTGATTGAGAACTTCAGACAAATCGATAGACACTGCGTTTCATTCATGAATTACGAATACCGTAGTATGGGGATACTTTTGAAACATTTTTCATTGTCAGATACAAATATATACTTGGCAAAGTTCTTTGTAGGAAATCTTGCCCTATCCTAAAAGATGTATGAGTTGATGTACTATAATTATACAAATATTCATCTTCGCCGGTTCAGTCGTTAGGAAGATATTTAAATAATATATCGATGTTCCAAGGAACCCGCAGATTTGAAAATTTGGAATAGGAATACAAAAGTATCGTTGTAGTCAATTCGTCGTCTCGTTAGCATACTGGCAACATGAGTATTTGTTTAAGTGTCATCAAAATCAATCCGGAATCAGTTTTGTGATGAAGTAATATATCAAATAGTATACATTATACCTAGCATTTTTATGAATGCATGTTATTGAGAACTCAAGAAATCTCTTGAATATACCTAACAGCGAAATGGACTGGTTAAATCTCATTTAGCAAAAAAACTCATGAATGAACACTTTGGTGGTGTTGGTGGGGAGTTTGGGCGGGTTGTTGTGGAGTAGTGGATGGAGGGAAGGTCCTATCAGCTGTTATGATCACAAACAGGTCTCTCCATGTAGTGGTCGACGGAGTTTCATCTGACTCTTTTATCATAAATGCTGGTGCTCCGCAAGGATCAATTCTAGCACCAACACTATTTCTACTCCATATCAACGATTTGTTGGAAGCAACTTCATGTCCAGTACACAGCTTCGCGGATGATAGTACCCTCCATACCGCCTTCCCTTCCAGGGCTCCAATACCAGCCAGACAAATCAGAAACGAACGAGGAAGAAATGTTGACAACATAAATATGGACTTGGTAACAATTCTCGAATGGGGATCGAATAGCTTGGTAGATTTCAATGCAAACAAAACACAGGCATGCCTTTTCTCTGGAAAAGCCGATTTCACTGCGCCCAACATACGCTTGTCAGGAGAAACCATGCCTTTGAAGACATCCATTATCGATTACTATCAGCAATAACCTTTCTGGGGAAAATCACGTGAGATCAATTGCTAAAAGTGCATCCCAAAAACTTGGTTTTCTGTTTCGGGTCAGGAGCTATTTCACTTCCAGTCAGCTGCTGATGATCTATAAGGCACAGATCCGACCTGTCCTGGAATACTGTTACCATCTTTGGTAGAAGTCCATATTTGGAATGCAGCACCCAAACATACCCTGAAACTGTTGGATTCTGTCCAAAAGGGGGAGGGCAATTCGTCTCGTGGGTGATGCCTCGCTCACAAACTCACTCACTTTTCTGGAACAGCGTAGAAAAGTTGGCGATCTGGCTCTATTTCATAGATATTTTCATGGACGATGCTCTTCTGAAATATCCACAATCGTTCCTTCCTTGGCAGTTCCCGCGAAATTAACCCGTCGAGTTTAGGCTTCGCACCCCTTCGTGGTCACTTTGGAGACCTGCAGAACATCTCTTTCCAAAGACTCGTTCATCCAACGAACAGCGACGCTCTGGAACACATTGCCAAGGGAGGTGTTCCCTAAGGCATATAACCTCCATAAATTTAAGAAGAATACCAATTCATACATTATATCCCCTATTTCTGGGGACCGGAGCCTGCACTGGGTATAACAAGAAGCCAAACTCCGTCTGCCCTTAACAAATGGGCGGACGAGGCACTAGAAGGATATTGGAGGCGTATAGGCGGCTGCAGGCAATCGAGAGACCTCTGGTGGCCGGTCCATTCAAGCCAGAGACGGCTTGTTTACTGGACAGGGATCGCCAGGTCCTGCGCCTTCTTATAGGGGTACTGACAGGGCACAACAGGTTACGCAGACACCTATCACTCATAGGTGTGGAGGATAGTCCCACTTGCCGTGAATGCGGAGAAGATGAGGAGACATCACTTCACTTCCTCGCGGAGAGTGTGAGGCGTATGAAAGGATGAGATTCGAAATCTTTGGAGTAGATAAACTACAACAGGAAGATTTGGCCGAATTAGAGTGGACAGACATCCTGACCTTCATCAGAAGGACGGGAAGGTTCGAAAAGGAAAACTAAAAGAGAGATGTGTAGATATGTGGAGAGCAGGGGTTGGCAAAAAGGGCCCATGGGGGCCTACTTGCCTGGCTACAGCCTCCCCACAATACTGCTACTATACTACTACTACCTTATTTCCCTTGGTTCTCACGATGTTCTCTGAACATTACAGGATATCCCTTTCTGTGGGAACCAGAACATAAAAAAAAGAACTCTAATATTCCAAACACGGATAAATTGGGGAAATTGCGAATTGCGAGGTAAACTCTGCGGAAATATTGCAACGCTTTATCAATAACTTTTCGACGATCTGATAATTCGTCTCTTTGACAAGATCATGTACATATACTAGGCGATATTGGTTGTGGATGTAGCCAGGTTAGGTATAAGGATACATGAATGGCTTGCTAACTAACCTTTGTGAAAAAGAAGTTTTCATTTGAGGTAGAAGATAAAAACTCTTCGATTCGTTGAGGTATATCTAATAAGTTCTCGATTTCTCAGGTTTATATCCATATTCTGATCGGAGAATTTTGCTCACATAAATATTGTGTATTATGTTCATTGTCATTTAGCATACTAAAGAATGAATTTTCCGAACAGATGAGAGCTTAATTTTCACACAGAGTTCTTCGAAATATGCAATTACCTGAAACATTCTCTTCGATTTCACTTTCGTCTACAAAATGACAGTTGACAGCTCCCACAATTGACAGGCCGGACAGGACAGGGCTCAAACGACTGACGGTGTGTTTAAAAAACTCATTGTGTTGCTATGGTAACGTATATGATTTTTTTAATAAATCACAGATCATCAATCCGTGATTGATCGATCTTTCAGCGTGGTACATATCCGTTCGCTTAATGCCATTTATTTATGTGAGTAGAAAATCTTGTTCAGATTTCTGTCATTAGCTATATTTAGGTATGCAAAATTTGCAAAAATGAGTAAGATGTTCAACATACCTTTTTCTAGAAATAAGTACAGCACACCATTGGGCTTCTTTTCGAGAAAATCAATAATCTGCTGAACTTCTTACTGAATTTGAAGAATGAATGAACGGCATTCTCCATTTATTGGCAGTCGTTCAAAGGATAAATCCAAACGGATTCAAAAATACGTGTTAAAATGATATTTGATGTCGTACGATTGTTTTATATTTTACTCAATAGCTATCTTAGTCGATATTAGTCTTACAAAAACGTTCAAATGGGCAAAAATGAAGTATTTTTCAAGGGCATTCAGATTCTACTATTAGAAAATTCAAAAAGGCATCGTCAACCTGAAAATTCTACATCAACTAGTATATTTCCAATGGAACACCCTGTATCTTATTTTCTGAACAGTAAACTTCTCTCTTTTGATTTCAAATATATATACTTCATTGAGGTTATATATACAGTCTGTCCAAGATAAGGTTGAACAGCATATGGGGATCTCGATCGGAAACGGTAGGAGATACGGAGTCGTTTAAATAGGGAAAAAGTTGCGCATTCGGAGGCTCATATCAAGAGTTAGCCTTCGAAAATTTTCAAAATTATTTTTAGTTTTTGAGTTATATCGAAAAAAGTGAATTTTTGGAATATCTATTCTATTTGTTTTTTCTTCGTTATTATTAGATATACAGAAGAACTGAAAATATTTTTTCATAGCAACTTTTGATGAAGTTTAACGTGGTGATACCGATTTTTTCATGCGACGTTTCGTATTCGTAGAACCATCAACAACTCTTGTTTTTTAAATACGTTCCTGATAATTTTTTCACAGATTCTGAAAGGTTTTTTCATTCTGAATTCAACCATGTATCATACGAGGTGATTCGAATATGTTTCGACCTATTTCTATCCATCATCAATGTTTTTTCGAACTTCCAAAGGAAAAAAGCCATCAGTTCCACTCATTTCTGATCATACAGTGTCAAATTGATGGATTAGTCATTCAATACCTACTGAAAAGCGAATAAAAAATATTTCACTAGATCATTCGATCAATGGAGGGCTTAAAATTGTTGATGAATTCTTACACGAATTACTTTAACAACTTAACTTTGACAATACCTACATACATTCATAACAAATGTTCAAAATGATAACCATTATTTTCTGAACAAAGATATTCTCTTCTCACAGTTGCTTCTAAGACATTGCTAAGCATTTCTGGGGTTATTCTATTGGATGCTTCGAAGACACTGTCCCTTTAGTTCTTCTTCATCATCAAAGTTATTTGCGTATACAAAGTTTGATATATTTCCTAAGAAAAAATCCAGCTGTGTCAAATCAGGTGACAGCGCCGGCCAAGGGACTGTAGAATGAGTACCAATCCATTTTTCTGGATGAAAACGCACGGACTTCTATGGAATTATGTACCGGCGCGCCATCTTGTTGAAACTAACAGTTCTGAACTTCCGCAATCGGTAAATCATCCAGAGCTCCCCCAAGATGATTCTTGAGCAAATTTCTATAAGGTTCGGAAGTCTGTGTTTCATAGTAAATAGAAGGACCAATAATTCGTGTACCAAATATTGCAACCCACATATTAAAGCCGTAACGATGTTGCTGTCTCACTGTAATGTATAAATGTTCATTTTCTCGTAAACAATTATGTGTATTTTTTCTTTCGAAGATGCCATGATTAGTGACCATGCTTTCCTCAGTCCAGATGATTGTTCGAGGGAAATCTGCAAAATTTTGATATTTCATGGTATACCACTCACAGAATGTCCTGTGCCTTTCGTCATCGCTTGGTTTTAGCGCTTGACATATTCTGAATTTGTATGGATGGAATTTTTGTTTCTGCAAAATGAAATGAGTTGTTGATTGAAACCAGTTGATGAGGTATCAGTGTGTTGACTAATTTTCCTTCAAAATAAGTGGAACTGATGGCATTTTCCCTTTGGAATTCCGGAAAAACATTGATGATGGCTAAAAGTAGGTCGAAACACACATAAACCACCTTGAATAATACATGGTTGAATTCAGAATGAAAAAACCTTTCAGAATCTGTGAAAAAATTATCAGGACCGCATTTAAAAAACGAAAGTTGATGATGGTTCCACGAATACGAAACGTCGCATAAAAAAATCAGTATCACCACGTTGGACGTCATCAAAAGTTGCTATGAAAAAGTATTCTCAGTTTTGCTGTATCTCTCATAATAACGGAGAAAAAAAATGAAAAAGATATTCCAAAAATTCACTTTTTTCGATATAACCCAAAAACTAAAAATAATTTTGAAAATTTTCGAAGGCTCTCGATATGAGCCTCCGAATGCGCAACTTTTTCCTCATATAAACGACTTCGTAGCTCCTACCGTTTCCGAGATCCCCATGCTGTTCAACCTTATCTTGGACAGACTGTATTCTGTGGGTTTTTGAAAAACATAGATTTCTTGGAACACATTTAGGGCATCAGGTGCACTTTCGATTAATGAGTCAATTTCTGAACTATTTTTTTTTTTTTCTTTTTTTGAGAAGGATTGACCCATAATTCTTGGTTTTTTTCCTACGCTTTTTCTAAAGATGAGTTTTATGTAAGTAGTGAGTACACACAAGCAACGCGACAATTTGACATCGCGGTTGTGTCTCGATCAGTGTTCACAGGGCCTCCACGACGGGTCTAGAAATCAACCATACGTTGATTTCATATCGTCATATCCTATTTGGCTGACAATTACCTGAACTGACATAAATAATTTTTTTTGTAGGACAAAGATTTGCAATTTTGGAAATAAAGGCAGCATTGTGTGGTATTTTGAGGAAATTCAAACTCGAAGCAGTGGATGCACCTGAAGATATGGTGTTCAAATCTGATTTGGTACTGAGACCTGCTGGAGAAATTAGAGTGAAGTTCGTGCCAAGGAAATGAAATGAATTCTCTTTTGTTCACTATATATACATATACTAACTTTAGAAGTCACCATTACTCAAAGAATTCCTCTGATGAGACGTGTAGTTGAAATGTTATCACTTGGAAACCATCAAATATATCGAATACGTAACCTCATGTATTCTCCATTCATCTAAATATACAGAAGCTCACTGTATGTGAGAGAAAATGTATATTCAAATATATCAAAAAGACATCTGCTTACATAATTACGGAACCAGAATATTCTGACTCTTTATGTATCCCCAAACACGAAACCAAAAATTTTCAAATTTTCATTTCATTTATGGGAATCAAAGTGTATATAAAGGGTGTAACTAAATAAGTGTAAAACATTTGAGAGGGTGATTCCCCATCGAAAAAAAGATAGGATCTTTCATATAAAGAAACTTCATTGGAGCATCCCATGTTGAGATACAGCCCCTTGAAGGGGGTACATAAAATTTGTTTGATATGTTTATTCCAGATTCACAAGCACTAAAAAAGTTGCAGTATTGAAATTAACCTGACATTTTCTATTACCAAAAAGACACTCAGCCACTAATTTATTTGGTTTACCCCATGGTTGTAAGGGGTGGAAAACGCATCCCCTAAATTTTATTTCCAATGTAACTTTTCGCCTTATTATTTGTTTACCATGTAAAAATATATATCCAATACCCTGTTTTATTCCAAACGAAAAAAGTCCTGTTGATTATGTGCCGAAAATGAACCTGTTCGCAGCAAAAAATTATTTCACGATCAACTACAGAGATACATCCGAGGTTACATCGTCATAAATGCAAACTGGATGTATTGTTATTTTGTAGTTACTAACTGCATTAAATGATTAAAGGGGGATAAACAAAACTAATTTATCAATGGCGGCTCGGTGGTCGAGAGCGTGAATGCGCTGAGTTCGTATGGGGACTCCCACCGAGACATAGGTTCGAATCCTAGTTAGGCCATGGATGTTTGTGTTTGTATGCTTACCTAACCCCGCACAAGTTTCGACTTATGGAGCGTTTGGTCCCAGTGCTGGGACCAACGATAGGTAATGCAAATGCAAAAAAAATAACAAAACATACAACAAATAGAAATGATAGTAAATGTAGTCATAGTGCATGTATCTAGACGTCTTCGCATTGAGTCCTCCACATCGTGAACTGGAGTATGATAAACCGAATGCTGTAAATGGCCCCAAGTAGAGAAATCGAGAGGATTGAGATCCGGGGATCGAGCGGGCCAATTCTGTGGTCCTCCTCGACCTATCCTGATTTGCATGTTTCAGTTAAATGCTGACGTGCTACTTGACTAGAATGGGCGGTAGCCCCATCATGCATAAAAAACATATCCCCTCTGACGCCCAAAGGAACTATCTGCAGCAGTACGGGATGCACTTCTGTTAAAAATTGAACGTATGCCTCACCATTTAATCGAGGAGGTAGATAACTACCTATACTAACTTCAAAATAAAAAAAAATCCAGTTTGCATTTATGACGATGTATCTCTGTAGTTGTTCGTGAAATAATTTTTTGCTGCGAACTGGTTTATTTTGGCAGAAAATTCAAGGGACATTTTTTGTTTAGAATGAAACAGGCTATCGGGAATTAATTTTCAAATGGTAAACAAATAATATCCCTAACAACACAGGGATGTCCTAGGTACGTCCCTTTTTTGTTCCGCGGTACAAGAACATGATTGGGACATCCAGGGGATGTCCTGCAGTGGTTGTCCAGTGGACATCCCGCCCGGTACATCCCTAGGTTATCCTATTCGTGTCCCTGGAGTTACTGATATCCATTCACATCAGAGTCATTGAATTTCATCAAACTATTGAGTTGAATTTTTTTGAAAATGTTTGTTTCTCTTCCGTAAAATGATTGTGATGAAGAACATCCCTTGGATGCCTTTTTTTAGCGGCCAGCGGATGTCCCTGGGACATCCCTAGTATATACGTTGTCCCGACAAAGGACATCCCTGGGGTGTCCTAGTATAAAATCAGGGACGTCCATGGGAAGTCCCTAGGATGTACTGGTGTTGTTAGATAAGATAAAAAGTTACATTGGAAATAAAATTTAGGGGTTCTTTCGATGAGGAATCACCCCCTCAAATGTTTTACACTCATTTAGTTACACCCTGTATTTTACAAGTACAACACATACATCTATCACATTGGATTACATAGAAGTGTGGCACATCTGAAAGTGTGTCTGTTCGTCCCTCCGCGTGGCGTAGAGGTGGTTGGTGTTAGCCGAGAAATGTGAGAGGATATGTGAGGTGTTCGTCGCAGTGACCTATCACCTAGGGCTAGGCCCTTTATATAGGTAATCTCGCTGAGGGTACCCAAATGGTGGGAGAGCAGCTCATGCGCGATCAGAGTGGAAAGGGTTTCATGTTTTGGAGGAAAAATGAAATTTAAAAAAAATAAAAAACCTCCTTGTTTGTCTCGGGCAATTGTGCGTATGTGTTTCCATATGGGCACGTCTGCCCGAGTTCAGTGTCCTCTGTGTTCAGTGTCCTCTGTGTGACACTTTTCGTGCATGGGAGATAGTGTTGTCTAGATTCTTTCCAGTGTCTCGGACTTGTCCGAGGATCCGGGGAGATTATTCCTGCCTATAGATCATCCGGTTCCCTAAACACATCGGTTGATGCAAATATCAGCCCGTGGTTTTTATACAGGGTGTTTCATAGGTAAAGGGAAATATTTCAATGGTAGATAGGGGTCACCAAGGTGGTTCTGAAAATACCATATTTGATAGGTCTTAGAGTCTTCATGACGGAGATACAGGGCGATTTATCGATTTCGAATAATTATTCATTCGTCCATATGTATTGACCTATACCCAGTATATTTTTCTCAAATTTGGTGAGGAGCTTGTACTTGAGACGGTAAATTCATTCACCTATCGGTCGGAGTGAAAATCCAGGTTCGGCTTCAGGAAAAATTTACATTTATTCGAAATATTAAAATAACACACTGTATTCAATAATTAACACAGTACATCAAGAGAATTGGGAAGAGCAGGAAAAACTGAATTGTGTATGATGCTTTTCGTTTTCCCGCCACAAATTCTCATTGTAACAATCATGAAAGGGAAGTTTAAAGTATGTCAATTTGAAGAGTATTGGAATTATGAAACCAGTATCGATTATGATTATTTGATATTTTTTTCAAAAAATCGCTCGAAAGAACTCACTAAGTCTCACAGTCTCCAAAAATCTTGAACTACAGAGTAACATTTTCTCAAATTTGGTAGGTATGTAGCTTACTTGGGACGAAGAATTCATTATAACCTATCAGGCAGAATGGAGATACTACCAAATAATTATAATTCGATAATTCACCCTGCATCTCTGTTATAAAGACTATATGAGACTTTTCCTGAAGCTGAACCTGTATTTCCATTCTGCCTGATAGTTCAATGAATTCATGGTCCCAAAGTAAGCTCAATACCAAATTTGAGAAAATATTATTGCGATGGGTAGTCCAATACTTATGGACGAATGAATTATTCGAAACCGATAATTCGCCCTGTATCTCTGTTATAAAGACTGTGAAACTTAGTAAGTTCTTTCGAATGATCATTTAACAAGAATATATCAAATAATCATAATTTGTAGTGGTTTCATAATTTCAATACTTTTCAAATTCACATACTTTTAGCTTTCTGTTTATGATTGTTACGATGAGAATTGAAAAAGCATCAAATCCAGTTCAGCTTTTTCTCCTCTTCACGATTCATTTGATGAACTCTGAATTATCACATACAGTGTGTTATTTTAATATTTCGAATAAATGTAAATTTTTTCTGAAGCCGAACCTGGATTTTCACTTCATCCGATAGGTGAATGGATTCAACGTCCCAAGTATATTGTCCATATCAAATTTTAGGAAAATATACTGGGTGGTTCAATACTTATAGACGAATGAATAATTATTCGAAATCGATAAATCGCCCTGTATCTCCGTTATGAAGACTCTAAGACCTATTAAATATGGTATTTTCAGAACCACCTTGGTGGTGACCCCTTTGTACCATTGAAATATTTCCCTCCATCTGTGAAACACCCTGTATATGTATGTTGTGGTGTTGTCTGAGTGTTGTGATATTCCGGGTAAGGTCACTTCCAGCGATACATATGTAGAATTTATTCGCTATATTTGCAAGATGTACTATCACCAATTCAAGGCAAATTACCACATCTCTCGTGGAGATCTGCCACTCGAGAGTATCATCACCGTTGGTAATAATACGGAGTACTTTGTTCTGCAGCACCTGTAACCTATTCATATGAGTAGGTGGGATGCTGCAGTACACCGGACACGCATACGCATATGTCATTACAGGTCTGATAATCTGCTTGTACACCAGGACCGTATTCTCTACTGAGAGAGGTGAGGTCCTGGATAACAAGGGATACATCTTCTTTATCGCGGCTTGTGTTTTTTGTATCAGATAGTTTGTATTCTTCCTGAATGACATATAGGTGTCCAACTTGACTACCAGGTATTTCACGGGGGGGGGGGGTCGTGTCTGTCACCTCAACCCCTTTGACGGTCAAAGGTCTGCTCAACGTGGAGTTGTTTCGATTCTGATGAAATTAATAACTTCAGTTTTGGCACTGTTTGATGCTGATCTTTGACTCGTCAAAGTACGGTATATGATTACCCTGTCCAGATGAATCTGGATCTGTGCCCTGGCGATATTCGAGTCGTCCGAGTGAACATATATCACCGTATCATCGGCGTACAATACTGTGCTCGTCCGCTCGAATACAGGGAAATCATGCGTGTATAAGGTATATATAAGAGAGGTGAGATGGCACACTAGCGTCTGCGGACAGGCGCAAGTAATTACTCCGTGGTAGGGGAACGTTAGTTAACTTGTGTCGAGTCTAATATAAGGAAGGAATTTTTTTTTAACAATCAATCGACCTAGATGAACCTTTTTTCTTGAAGAAGGAGAAATTTTTCTTGAGGAAGGAAAATATTGTTTCTGCATGAAAAATGAGAAAACCTAACCTATCTATTTTATGAGTATATCTGTACTTGTTTCGTTGACCTGTGTAAAACTTGATGTTTATTAACACCGAATAAAATATTCTAGAAGGAGAATTTTTCTTGAGGAAGGAAAATATTGTTCCTGCATAAAAAATGAGAAAACCTAACCTATCTATTTTATGAGTATATCTGTACTTGTTTCGTTGACCTGTGTAAAACTTAATGTTTATTAACACCAAATAAAATATTCTATTCTATTCTAACCTAACCTAACCGAACCTCACCTCTGGCCTAAACATAGAAAACCCCTAAATGAACCTATTTCCCACAGAGAATATTTTTTAGAAATCACTTGAGAACAAGAAAAAAATAAAAAAAAGATGAGCCTCGCACGGATTCGAACCCCGGCCCGCCGGCTTGGTATGCCGATGTTCTGCTTACTGAGCCAACCAGTTGCTAACGAGATGAAGTATGATGAAGTCATTCAGTCGGCGCCGCATAACGCCAGTCGCATCTACTGCCCACTATAACGTTCTCCCACCACGGAGTTATTACTTGCGGCCGTCCCGCAGACGCTAATAGATGAACTAGACCCCTGCGGAACACCTGATGCCTCGAGTGGAAAATCTCCCGATATACTTTCGTTGACCTTAACCCGGATTTTCCTGTTGGTGATATATGCATCGAGCATCGATAATGTTAATGATAAAAATCGGCATCCTAGCCTTATACAATTTGGACATTAGACCTTCGTGCCAGACGGCGTCAAATGCCTTTTTTACGTCCATCATAACCATAACGGTGTTCTTGTTGTTGCTGCTGCCATTATACATGGGAAAAATATCAAATTTTAAGTCACGGTTAGTATTTCAAACATTATCAAAACAAGTTGGAGCTAAAATCTACAACTTTTTTCCCTTGTATAATAAATCTCTATTTTTTTGCCATGTCCGTTCAGCGCCTTCCTAAGAGTCAGTGGATTCAGTGACAGTACTGACTAGTTGAATTCAATGAGTACTACATACAATACAATAAAAAAAACGAAATAGTATATTACATAACAAGAGTTGTAAAACGCATATTACGCACGAAGTGGAGAGAGTTACACACGATGCCGCATAGCGGCGAGTGTGTAACTCCACAAGTGCGTAATTGCTTTACAACTCGAGAATTGTACTATACTTTTTCTACGACTACACTATATTTTCTTCCGGATAGTGCAGATATATTGTATTA